CCCTTCCTAAAGCCACTTGCGATCCAGCACATGAACAGCTGTGAGCATCACGGACGCGTAGGTGTTGCTACTATACTAGTCTGCAGAACTCCACTTGGACGACTCCACTGGCGCGCTTCGGGATGTGATGAAATTTACATATGAAGCATAAACCTTGACCACATTCCCTTGTGTACGCACACACGGACGTCCGTGGACACTACAGCTGCGTAGTTGCTGTTGTTGTTGCACCACTTTCTGACGTCAGCAGAGATTTCCGTGCAGACTCTTGAGGACTTGGGGAGATGATGAAATTTACATGAAGTGGACCCGAGCACCTTTGTGTACCTTCGGGCGCCGAACGCATTACCGCGGCCTAATTAGGGCCAGCGTGGGCCTTGCTGGTGTGTAGTTACAGTACGGCAGAGAATACACAGAGGAGTACAGAGACTGTGCACGTATGGAATGGACACAAAGTGGTACAACAACAAGTACACATATAGAATAAAATTGAATAGTTTAACCTTTATTAGTCCCACAAGGGGAAATTTGCAACATCACAGCAGTAAAAACAACAAGAAAGCACTACTATAGATGAAAGAGGTGAGATATGTACACTATATATACAACATAAATAAGAAAAACACAAGAACTCAAGGATACTAAGAACACAAATTGAAGAATATTTGCATGAATGAATTGCACTTGGGTTTATGGCACATGGCGGTTGGCTAATACGTGGCGTCTGCAGCCGTCTGTGTGGACCAGCGAGGCTTCATGTGGACTCTAGAAGCTTTACCTACAACATCATAGTCTCACCATAAGAGGAGAAATTGTGTTTCTGTCAAACTGGAAATGCAGCTCAGTTGTGTAGGAACCCAGTGCACACACAACAGTAGTACTTGACAAAATCAACTACTGTGGGAAGATGTCCTGTGAAGGCCCAGCTGAAGACGGTGCTCCAGAACCACACCTGCCAGACATCAGTGATGATTGCCCTGGAGCTCCTGACCTACTCTCAGTCTTGTTCTTCCCGCCTCCGGTTACATCTGATTGGACCAGCACCACTCCTCCTCCACCTCAGCAATCACCACACCTGGCTATAAGAGCAACCAGCAACCTTTCAGTCGGTGCTGGCTGGATTTAGTGTGAACAGTCGGTCCTGGTGCCTCTTGGTTTGTGTCTTTTGTGTTTGTGGTAACTTCTGTTGGCAGCTGCTAACTCGGTGTGGGAGTTTTGTGAGAGTCTCAGTGAAGACTGACTCCTGTTTGCTGTTGTGCAACTTCATGAAGAAGTTACTCGTATTTTCATATTCTGTGTTTTGAAGCACTAGTTTGTTTTTAGTTTCTTTTGTGATGTGTGGACGTTGCGTTGTTGAGTTTAGTTT